ATCCTCATCCACTACCTGGAAAACTCCTACTCCTTTCTTTTTGAGATGGAGTCTCACTCTGTCACCCAGGCTGGAGTGCGGTGGCATGATCTCAGCTCACTGCAACCTCCTCTTCCCGGGTTCAAGCAATTTTCCTGCTTGAGCTTCCCAAGTTGCTGGGATTACAGGCGCCCACCACCGCGCCCAGTTTTTTATTTTTTAGTAGAGATGGGATTTCACCACGGTGACCAGGCTGGTTTTGAACTCCTGACCTCAGGTGATCTGCCCACCTTGGCCTCCCAAAGTGCTGGGATTACAGGCATGAGCCACCATGTCTGGCATCCTTTAAGATTCTTAGTGAAGCTTTTGCTGTCCTTCCCTTCTTCCTCCTCTAATCCCCACAAAGTTCTTTGTAAACAGCATCATTCTTACAATTCATATGAAGTACGTACACATGATAGACTAATGCACTTGTGGAGATTCCCGGCGGATGGGGGCCAGGATGAGGAAAGAGCATTCTCACAGCTCCCCCAGAACATTCCTCTTCCATTTTCAGGAAGCTCCCTCCTCCTTTGAAGGACATCCCAGACCTTAAGATCAGTCTTCTAAGTCCCTGACATGGCCCCCAAGTCATGGTTATCTTCTCCATTCCAACTGTGGCCATCATGTGGAAAATATTAGCTGCCATTCTGAGGTTCAGATAATATGCTAAAATGAGTCACTGTTCTCAGATTCCCCTTTTCTATGGCTTAGTGTCACGGCTCAGAACTACTTCACCTAGTCTCCATCCCAAACTTCCTGTCCTACATGTCACATTCATTTTATCTGCAATCTCTATCCCTTCCCTTTCACCCAGTTTACCAGTGCCTTACTGATCCGACTTCTCTCAAGACCCAGCCCAAATTCCAGGGCCAATCTCCAGCAATCTCTAATGACCTTGCCTTTCAGACACACCTGCCTTGCAAAATCCAACCCTAGCACCAATCCACTTTTTCCCATCCCACATTCTTAGCAGCTGAGCACTGCAGAAGTCACAACACTCCCTCAGCCAATGAAATTCATGGCTTTCTACCTCAACTGCATTCTCAAAGAAACTCCTCAATCTTTTTACTTGGTTTTGATGTTTCCTCCATCTTCCTGATTGTTAATACTAACAAAAATGTGAAACATGATCTATGACAAACATGTTAACAAAACAACCTTGAGGCTGTTGAATACTGCATGGGAAGAAAACAAGGTTAAATAAGGTAAATGTAGTAACATAGCTCTAACACTATATATATATATACACAGACACACACACACACACTGTATATATGTCCTAAGTCATTTAATGCTGTATATATGTCCTAAGTCATTTACTTTCATGGCACTAAGAAATATTATTTCTTCTAGATTTTTAGAGTTTGAAAAATAAGGGGAAGTGTGGACCATTAGTAAGAATGGCTGCTTTCAAATCCCTTCAAGTCCAAGGCACTCTTTATACTTACTATCCTTTAGCAATGAGACACATACAACTTTTGTTTGTTTTCATTTTAATTTATTCTGTGTTGTTTAAAGTGAAAATTAAATCATACAAACCACAGAGGCTTTAGAGTACTGACCAGTTTTAAAACAGTGAATGATCATTCACACACATTCCCCATCTTTAATTTTACATCTTGTTATATATACAAAGGTACTATTAAAACACATAATTCTAAATCTTTATAAACCTATTTGTCAAGCAGCAAGATGGCAATGCCTCATAGCAGAGCACAGAGTATTTCCTATAAGGAAGCACAGCAGCGGTATTTGGTGAATGGTTATGCAGAGAACCAACTTGGAGGATCATGTTAAACAGTCCCCATGAAACAGGCAGCACACGCACACTAACCAACGAAAAACGAAGCTTTCATTGATATAAGATAAAATGTTACCCTTTACACTTTAAGTTAAAAACTCTAGGACACTTTAGAAGCAGACAATACAAGGTGCTTTATTTCTAGACTCCACAACAGAATACTACTCCATTAGTCGCTTGAGCGTCCATAACCTTTGAGGACTACTCAATGGCTTCTTAAAGTCAACCTCAAATATAAAAGCACTTAAAGTTTACCAGGCAAAACCTAGTTACATCTTACATTAAAACATACTATTTGAGAAAACTGAATTTTAAAAAGACTGCATCACTGATCAAAATTTGTTATTCAAAATTTTGCTTTTAAAAGAGCAACAATTTTATTGCTCTTTCAAATCTTTTAACACGTTTTTTTTGTTTTTTTTTTGTTTTTTTTTTTTGAGACGGAGTTTCGCCCTTGTTACCCAGGCTGGAGTGCAATGGCACGATCTTGGCTCACCGCAACCTCCGCCTCCTGGGTTCAGGCAATTCTCCTGCCTCAGCCTCCCGAGTAGCTGGGATTATAGGCACGCGCCACCATGCCCAGCTAATTTTTTGTATTTTTAGTAGAGACGGGGTTTCACCATGTTGACCAGGTTGGTCTCGATCTCTCGACCTTGTGATCCACCCACCTCGGCCTCCCAAAGTGCTGGGATTACAGGCTTGAGCCACCGCACCCGGCCAACACGTTTTAAGATGTCATGTTTTGTGAATCCACTACTTTATATATTCCAAACTTTAAGCAAAATAAAATTAAAATGGGTTTTCAACCTAATATCTAAAGAAATGGGTCTGCATGTCTGTGAAGTGTCTGTCTACCACAGAGCAATATATTTGTTTGAACTATGAAAATATCACTACAAAATCCATCAAATGAATTTTATATTCATTTTGATGGAAATATCAAAAACCTCATTTAACAGCACTACACAAATATTTAGTATTTTTGGCATTTAAATCAGAGCAACGCACCCAATGCAATTGGTACAGGCGATTTTCACAAAAAGTTTAAAAGGCAAAACATTTGGAAATGAATGGCTGGTTGGGAAGGAAATAAAACCACCTACCAGCCCTCAATGTTAGAATTAATCCTCGAAAGATGGCATGCTGATCACCATCATCGTTTGTGGGAGTTTAGACAAGATTCTAATACATATATGTGTTTTTAATGCTCATAAACTGTTACAACTCTAAAATTAATCACGGGATAGTTCACTCCCACTGAGACTGAAAATGTAGTTGTGATGCAATTCTGTTAAGTTTGCTATAAAAGCACTGAACAGGAAAAGGAAAAGAAACACTATACCACATAAATAATTCTGTGTTAACTATTTATCTTGCCTCTTTTAGTGGCATTAAGAAATATGTACCATGGTAAGTGTGTTGTGAGGTGCACAAAGAGAAAAAAGCTTTAAACAAAGGATTTGTTTGTAGATCTTCATATTGGCATCAGTGATGTTTCTTTACGCTCCCTAAATGAGAATCTAAGAGCTAATTAGTATGCTTTTAGGTATATCTCACAAGTTAAATATTTCCTAAAATTACATAAAATAAAACATGCTTGAAGCATAAATGTCAATAAATAATGCCAACATACATATCTCTACAAAGATTAACCTGTATTAATTTGGGCACGACTCTTCTAGATTTTGGGGGGAGAGTTACATCAGCCATCATTTTTATTTTAAATGAGACAGACTCTCCCTCTGTCGCCAGTTTGGAATACAGTGGCAGGATCTCAGCTGTGATCTCCACCTCCTGGGTTCAAGCAATCTCCTGCCTCAGCCTCCTGAGTAGCTAGGACTACAGCCGTGCACTACTACACCCGGCTAATTTTTTGTATTTTAGTAGAGAAGAGGTTTCACCATGTTAGTCAGGCTGGTCTCAATCTCCTGACCTCATGATCTGCCTGCTGTGGCCTCCCAGAGTGCTGGGATTACAGGCCTGAGCCACCACGCCCAGCCAGCCATCATTCTTTAATATTGACACAAGAAGCTCACCAGCTACTTTTAAGTTTTTCAGCAACTATTATCTAATCTTAGGTACCCACCATAAAACAGAATCCATAGTTCAAAACATTAGACTGAAAAATCTAATTTAAATATCTTCCCAGTACCAAGAAGTTTGGGGGGCATTTTTTTCTATTTTAAGATATGTAGCTATTATGAAGCATTAAAATTAATGCTTCAAACTGTCACTGTTTTGTTATGCCCTAGAGTCACATAAAAATAGAAATGTGTATCTAATAAAGAAATGAAGACAGAAAGACTATGCCTCGTTCTCAGCTGCTGGGAAATCTTCCCCTAGCAAATAAATAAAACTAAAGTTATGTCCTGTGAATTCCCTTTTAGTATCTCCAAAAGCTACAATATAGCAAAGAGGTGTTCATCACAAACACAACTTGGGACAGAGCCAGTGAACTGTTAAACAAAACTCTAAGAAGTATGAGGTATCAAGCTCAAGCATAACAACACATCATCATAAAATAGAGGTTGAATAGATATATCTTGTGATGACTAGTTCTTAATAAATGTTTTAAAAAAAACATAAAAAGAACTTGGATTAATAAAGTAAGTTGGCTTTGCATTTCATTCTTGGTACAAAGCAGGTAACACTAAACAGGAAGTTTCTTTAAGTCCTACCTCTCCTCCCTGGTAAACACTCACTCCAGAGTTCAGTTAAAGCAAACAGAGAAAGCTGGCAAGAGAGTCATTTTACAGCCAAGCGGGTAATTCCACCCACTACTGTTTTCCTCAATACCCATTACCTTTGAGGTCTTGTCACTGAATTATTGTTTGTGAAGAAGTGTTTCTCTCCACAACACATTCCTTGAGTATAAAGTCCTTCTATACAAAGGGAGTAACTAATCCTATTCTTCCTAAAGTAGAAGATAGTTCTTAGATTCCTAAGTTACCACTCTAAAATCTTGAATAGGTTACCCCCCACCCAAAGTATGTTTCACACAGGATAACAATTTTAACATTATGAATCAGAATCAAATTCCCCAATAAATAACTATCTTAAAAAGAAAAATAAATTTACAAGCTACCGTTTTTAATTTAACCTAAGATACTATCAATTGTTAAGATGCACCGTATGTATCACTAAGAAAAAACACTGCCCATTAAACTATGACACAATGTTTTCTTATCACAGAAAACGTTTTTTATATTTATTGAAACAGCACTTTAACAGATTTTTATCATATCAATCTTGCAAATATGTAAAGAAAATGTGTGAAACAAATTGGTTAATAATTATAACTGCATATTCTGAATCCAACTCTTCTGAATCACTTTTCAAACCACAGTCCATTTTTCCATATAACGTCGCCCCCAGTGTTGTCAGAGTACTGGTTATACAGCACTTCTTGAAACAGTGCTCCAACGCCGTCTTCTGTTTAATAGCAGCAGGGAGCTTGGGGCAAAACGATGTTTGATGCCTTAATGACAGTCCTGCTCGGTGCATGAATCGGTCACACCAGCCTCTTGTGGCTCTGAATTTTGTTTCATCAATTCCCAGGGTTTTGGCAATTTCTCCTGCCTTCAATTGCATTGCTTGGCGTGTGACAGGCAATCCTTTTGCTTGTGTCTCCCTGATAAAATGTAGTACAGCTTCATTTACTTGTGGGTATCTACCTTTCTTAGTTCCTGTAAAACATTTTGTTGTTGCTTTGCAGGAAAATATGGAATTTCGATCATTTCTCCAGTGACGAATATTTGCTTCACTGACATCAATTGTGTGCCCTGCTGCTCTGTATCCATGCTTTTCTGCATACACAATATCTTTTCATTTCAATGCTGAATCATAGTGTAATCGTTTTGAAGACATTTTAAAATGTCAATTAAATCTGACACATTTGATACCAACAATACACATGTTGGTTAAAGGGAAGACACACTGAAAAGCTGTAAATTCACACATGCACAAGGTAGGAGAATTACATGACTATCACCTGGTTGATAGTAATAAGATGTATCCCAATTTCTGACAAGTTAAACTGGGGAGAAAAATGAACATTTTAGGGCTAATAAAATACGGTTTTTCAAGCCTTTAATGTTTACCAGATCTGCAACAGTGTGAGAAAATAAGCCCAAAAGCCAAGGAATAAGTGTCTAAGTAGACAGCTAGTGAAGCAAAAGATTACCTTAAGATGAAATTTATAATAGTCCAATTTGGTTTTAATTCCCTTTATTTTTATATGGCTTACATTTTATATGGCATACTTAAAATCCAATACAAATTGTTCTTCAGTCATTAGTAAATTTCAAAGCCAAGTCACTAAGAGACAGAAGCTGGCAGCTGCCTTTCATCCTTCAGGAGTACGGGACTATGGCTGGGGTCAGCGGCCTTCGTCAGCAGGTGGCCTCCTTTGGCGAGCAGGTCTGATTCTGTGTGGAGAGGAGGAAGTGTCTTCTTCAGTTTCAGACCCTGAAGGTTCATGATCTCCCTCTTGGGATCCTGTGTCTCCCACCAGTTCCCGGAGAAACTTGAATTTTGATAAAAAAAGATGCCATACAAAATACCAACCTATAGAGAAAGACAAAAACATTAAGAAAAGTTATTACACAATGTTATCAATTCAGAACATTATAGTAAATGGGGGGCATATTACAAATATATATTGATATAACAAACATTTTTTATACAAGGAATAAAGATAAACTCTGAGATTACAGTGATGGTAAAAAACAGTCTCCATCCTCGTAGAATTTAGAATCCAGGCTGAGTCCATCTACAGTAAAATCATAATGAGTTTATGATATCTAAGTAAAAGTGTTACTTTTATTAAAATCAAATTTTTGAGAGCATTTTTCTGGGAAAGAAAGAATATACTTTGCCATTTACTTGGACTTTCATCTCAGTGCTATTTATTTACTAAAAGCAAGTTTGTTTCAATCAGAATGCATAAGAACTTAAATAGTAGGGCTTAACTGCACCATGGTGAAAACTACTCAGTCAGGACCAAGCTATTCATAAGTTTCTAGAAATAATTTTCAAAGAAAATATATTTTCTTAAATTATATAATGAAAGACTAAAGCCACAGCACCAGTATCTTAAAGATGTTTAAAACACAGGTTTTAAAAATACAATATTTTCATTTCAAAGTCATTAAAAAGTATGACTAATTCTCTTTTAACAAAAAAAAAAGTTTTGTTTTTGAAGGAGTATTAAGTAAGGTTTTTAAATGCTCACTAATAAGAAATAAACATTAATCAATAAAGGAATACACAGGAGAAAACCTCTGAACCTATGCTTGGTTGCTCTGAAATGTTAAGAGCATAAAAGAAACTAACCATTGTAACAAGGTTTTCCATGCTAACCTGTTTTCTTGATGCTATCTACTTTAAAGACTCCACTTGCACAGAATAGAAATGAAGCACGGCATATTTTGTGAAAACAAAATACAACAGCTTTTCTTTCCAGTGTAAATTCAGACCAAGATAAATGGCTATGTAAGGGGAGTTTCTAATTTTTTTTTTCTTACAATCTCTGGGGGAAAAAAATACTATGAACCCTTGACACTAAAGACAAATTTCAGAGATTTAATCAATTTCTCAAGTTTTGCTTTGAGTGCTGAGTACTACCTGAACCAAAACATAAATATTTTTTGGTCAACTGTGTGTTTGAGTAAAGCACCCAACTTTGTAATATATTATTTTAATGATATTCCAAATTAGCATCTTCTCTCTTCACCCAAAATTCTTTGTAAAACAGGCACAGCAAATTAGTGGAAAGAACATGGAGGAAGGAGTCAGTAGTTCCAGTTCTGACAAAAGATTCACAAAGCTATAGCGAGGATTGAATGAGAAGGTAACAAAAGGGCTTAGGTGCCTAGCATTAAGCATTTTCTAAAATGCTCAATTGTTGTCAGTTGTGCTTATCCTTAGGCAGTGAGATCTGAGGTCACTTCTGTTGGATTTTTAAATTGAGAAATACTCACATACCATAAAATTCATCATTTTAAAGTATACAATTCAGTGTTCACAGCTTGTACAACCATCACCACTACTAAAGTCCAAAATGGTTTCATCAACCCCAAGAGAAACCTCATACCCATTAACAGCCACTCCCTATCCCTGCTCCCCCGAGCCCCTGGCAACCACTAATCTACTTTCTGTCTCTATGGATTTGCCTATTCTGAACATGTCATTTTAATGAAATCACACAATATGTGTCTGGTTTTTATTTTACTTTTTTTTTTTTAATTTTTTTTTTCCCCCTGAACTTCACAGGACTGTGTCTGGTTTTTCAAACTCAGCCTGTTTCCAAAGTGTGTCCATTGGGTTGTATACATCAGTACTTCATTTTTTATGGTTGAATAATATTCCATTTTACATGTATTACATCCTGTTTAAGGACTCATCAACAGACATTTAGAAGTTTCTACTTCTGGCTATTGTAAGAAACAAAGTTGCCACTTTTTGGCTACAATGAATACTTGTGTACAAGTTTCTCCAGGGATGTATGTTTTCATTTATCTTGGGTATATCTATCTAGAAGGGAATTGCTGGGTCATATGGTAACTGTGTGTTTAAACACTTGTGAAACTGCAAAGTAGCTACAACACTTTACATTCCCACCTGCAATGTATGAGGTTCCAATTTCTCTATATACTCACCAACACTTTTTATTGTCGAGCTTTTTCATTACAGTCATCCTAGCGGGCATGATGGTATATCATGAAGCTTTGATTTGCATTTCCCTTGTGACTAATGATGTTAAACATCTTTTCATGTTCTTATTAGCCATCTGTTATTTTCTTTGGAGAAACAGCTATTCATTTATTTTTTTAAAAAAATATGTTATTTTTTTTATTGCATTTTAGGTTCTGGGGTACATGCGAAGAACATGCAGGGTTGTTGCATAAGTACATACATGGCAATGTGGTTTGCTGTCTCCATCCCCATCACCTATATCTGGCATTTCTCCTGATGTTATTCCTCTCCAGCTCCCTACCACCTGCTGTCCCTCCCGTAGTGCCCCCCAACACAAACCTCAGTGTGTCATGCTCCCCTCCCTGTGTCCATGTGTTCTCATTGTTCAACACCCACCTATGAGTGAGAACATGCAGTGTTTAATTTTCTGTTCTTGTGTCAGTTTGCTGAGAATGATGGTTTCCAGGTTCATCCATGTCCCTACAAAGGGCACTAACTCACCATTTTTTATGGCTGCATAGTACTCCATAGTGTATATGTGCCACATTTTACCTGTCCAGTCTATCATCGATGGGCATTTGGGTTGGTTCCAAGTCTTTGCTATTGTAAACAGTGCTGCAATGAACATATGTGTGCATGTGTCCTTACAAGAGAACGATTGATAATCCTTTGGATATATACCCAGTAATGGGATTGCTGGGTCAAATGGATTTCTATTTCTAGGTCCTTGAGGAATCACCATGCTGTCTTCTACAACAGTTGAACTAATTTACACTCCCACCAACAGTGTAAAAGTGTTCCTATTTCTCCACATCCTCTCCAGCATCTGTTGTCTCCAGATTTTTTAATGATCGCCATTCTAACTGGTGTGAGATGGTATCTCAATGTAGTTTTGATTTCCATTTCTCTAATGACCAGTAATGATGAGCATTTTTTCACATGTTTCTTGGCTGCATATATGTCTTCTTTTGAAAAGTGTCTGTTCCTATCTTTCACCCACTTTTGAATGGGTTCGTTTTTTTCTTGTAAATCTGTTTTAGTTCTTTGTAGACTTTGGATGTAAGTCCTTTGTCAGATGGGTATATTGCAAAAATTTTTTCCCATTCTGTTGGTTGCCGGTTCACTCTAATGATTATTTCTTTTGCTGTGCAGAACCTCTGGAGTTTAATTAGGCCCCATTTGCCTATTTCAGCTATTCATTTCTTTTGCCCATTTTTAAAATTAAGTTGCTTGTCTTTTTATTATTGAGTTGTAAGAGTCCTTTGTATATTCTAGATATTAGATGCTTATCAGATATATGATTCGCAAATATTTTCTCCCATTCTGTGGGCCATCTTTTCACTGTCTTGAGAAAGTCCTTTGAAGCACACAAGTTTTGAATTTTAAAGAGGCCTAATGCATCATTTTTCCCTTTGTTTGCTTGTACTTTGGGTGGCATATCTAGGAACTCACTGACTAATCCAAAGTCATGAAGATTTACACCTATGTAGTTCTTCTAAGAGTTCAATAGTTTCAGCTCTTAGATGTAAGTCTTTAATCCACTTTTGTTAATTTTGGTGTAAGACGGGGGTCAAAATTCATTCTTCTGCATGAGGAAATCAAGCTGTCCCAGAATCTTTTGTTGAAAAGACTATTCTACCCTACCATTACACTGTCTTGGCACCTTTGTCAAAAATTAATTGACCATAAATGTTACAGTTTATTTCTGGACTCTCGATTCCACCCCATTAACTTTATACTAGTACCATACCATGTTGGTTACTGTAGTTGTATATTAAATTTAAAAATTAGGAAATGTGAATTGATCAATGTTCTTTTTCAAGATTGTTTTGACTATTCTGAAGCATTTTCATATGAATTTTAGAATCATCTTGTCGATTTGAGTAAAAAAAAAAAAAAGGCAGTAAGAATTTTGATTTAATCTGTAGATCAATTTGGAGACCCACATTGTTTTTTTGTTTGTTTTTTTAATTTCTCTGTATTTAACCAAATTTTGCCACAAAGAACATACATGGTTTTGGTAATTGGGATAAATAAGAAACTGGTAAGTAAATCATGAATACTATGTAGACTTATATTTTGTAAATACCTCGATGCCATTAATTGGCTTAAATTAACGACGTCAGTTCACTTCAACAGATACTAAGGAAAACTTCTCAACTCTTAGGTTAAACTTGAAAATGTAACCCAAAAGGTAAAAGAACTCACTTGATCAGGGTATTAGGCTAAACAGGTATTACAGTGGCAAACTTATTACTGGAGAATTATAATCTTGCTTAAAAAAAAAAAAATTGATGGTCTTGATCTCATTAAAACCAAAGGCTTCAACAATGGCTACAATGTATAAAATGACCATAAAGAAGAGTGAGGAAGTCTTCTGACTGAAAGACTATGATAAAGGGCCTCACCACTTGGGTTCCCACCATAAAGTACTACAGTGCTCTAGGGATGGTTAAGAAAAAGCCTCTCAGCACAGAAATCTACAAGGTAAGGAACTAAGGACAACTGTAGCTTTCACAAGTTTGGGATATTAGAGAATTTAGCTAGATCACAGACTCTTCTCCAATTTTAGTAAAAGAAATCAAAGAAATTTTTTTGGTAATCACTGCCAGCAACCAATGTAAAGGACTCAATTTCAAGTCAAAATTCAGAACCAGAATGCAGTGCCAATGAGAAAAACTCCAATGTTTGGAGAAGCAAGTTATGGCTACTATGTCTACTCACCACTTCCCTCCCCACCCTGGCCAGCTGAATCACTCCACCAACTCCATACTGCTGTAATTTTTATCCTCAAATCTGGAGAAACGTAAGCTTGAACAGTGTGCACTTTTCTCTCAATTCTTTCAGGGTATAGGCTGTGTGAGGGCCGG